GACTGCTATTCATTCAATACAAGTGAAAAAGTTTTTTGTTTTTAAATCCAAGCTATTGTGACACCAGATGTAATTGGTGGCACTGACTGGGGAAATGGGCACAGTATGCACTGTGAGCCTGACACAGAAGCTGGCAGCAGTGGCAGACAACTGACTGCTATTCAATCTATAACAGTGAAAAAGTTTGTTGTTTTTAAATCCAAGCTATTGTGACACCAGATGTAATTGGTGGCACTGACTGGGGAAATGGGCACAGTATGCACTGTGAGCCTGACACAGAAGCTGGCAGCAGTGGCAGACAACTGACTGCTATTCAATCTATAACAGTGAAAAAAGTTTTTTGTTTTTAAATCCAAGCTATTGTGACACCAGATGTAAGTGGTGGCACTGACTGGGGAAATGGGCACAGTATGCACTGTGAGCCTGACACAGAAGCTGGCAGCAGTGGCAGACAACTGACTGCTATTCAATCTATAACAGTGAAAAAAGTTTTTTGTTTTTAAATCCAAGCTATTGTGACACCAGATATAAGTGGTGGCACTGACTGGGGAAATGGGCACAGTATGCACTGTGAGCCTGACACAGAAGCTGGCAGCAGTGGCAGACAACTAAGTGCAATTACATTACATAGAAAAAAAAATCATACCCTAACCCTAACCTAGCTATGCTTTTCCCTATCTAATGAACAGCAGCTACACTTTCCCTCCTCTTACTAAAGCATGCAGCTTGAGAATGAATCTAAAATGGATGCCTTCCAGGAGGTGGGAGGGTCTGCTAGGGAGGGTGTGCTGCTAATTGGCTGGAATGTGTCTGCTGACTGTGAGGTACAGGGTCAAAGTTTACTCAATGATGACGAATAGGGGGCGGGTCGAACCGCGCATATGTTCGCCCGCCGTGGCGAACGCGAACATGCTATGTTCGCCGGGAACCGTTCGCCGGCAAACCGTTCGGTACATCACTACTGAGAGGGATAAAACGCATAGGACTTGAATTTATCTTGTGACTCTCTTGATGTCAGCTGTCTTTTACTTCTGTGTAAGTAAATGCATGTTGCATTGTGCACTTTATTATAGCTATCTTATTTGGCTGTACTTTATCTATTTTACATGAATGATACCTACATCAATAAAATCCAGGAATTGAGAAGATATATATCCAAAGATTTCTGAAGGCTCTTTATTTGGCTCCAAAGTGTGAGTGGCCAATTGGCACCTTAATATACACCGTACTGGGTTCTACAGTGTTGCACTATGTTGTATCATTCTTGTCTCCCCTAGCTGGACAAACCCTATATATTGCAATTATTTATGAGAGTATAGGCAAGATTACAAAACAAAAATCCTTCACAGGTGCAAGTTTAAATACAGTACATTTTTGAACATTATAAACCAGTAAAAACTTGGCAATTGGGCAGAAAAGGCAAATCCCCATAGGGCTACCAAAATAGAGCATCTGTTGCTATTTATGCAAGGCTCCTCGTCATTTATGTCATATGCATGTACTAAAACTGATTTACTGGCTAAAGTAAAACTATATTTTCAATTACCATAACCACTACAGCTCATTGGTGGCTAAGGTGCAAGGAGTCTTTGAATGTTACCACTGTTTTTGTCAAACCATATTCAAGTAATTAAAAGTTTAAAAAAGAAACATAACTTTCCAAGCAACCTGTTGCTACCAAATTAATGAGTTCCTCAAGTTTTGATGCAGAATAGTGGAAATTAGTGTAAGTCATGGATGTCAAACTCACGGCCCACAACTAATATGTTTGCGGGGCGAGGGAGTGCTGAGTGTAAGCTCTCTCTGCTCAGCTTCCCGCAGTGAATGTCACATTCCGGCTCCCGGCATCACTCTTCAGCGCGAGAGGTAGCTGAGCAGAGAGAGCTCAGGGGAAAGTGCTCCCTCACTGAAAACTTAGAGTGCCCGCCTGCCTGCACGTCCGGCCGCCTTCCTGCCCAGCAGCCCAACCGGTCCCCAGGTAAGAAATCCACCCAGCTCTCCCAAAGATAGGGAGGCTGGGTGGATTTAAATTAAAATATATATATTTTTAAAGTGTTGGGGGGAAATGTGTGTTTGTGTGTATGGGTGTATGGCTGTCTGTGTGTGTGTATTGCTGTCTGTGTGTGTGCATGGCTGTCTGTGTGTGTGTATATGGCTGTCTGTATGTGTATGGCTGTGTGTGTGTGTGTGTGTGTGTATGGCTGTCTGTGTGTATGTGTATGGCTGTGTGTTTGTGTGTGTGTGTGTGTATGGCTGTCTGTGTGTGTATGGCTGTCTGTGCGTGTGTGTATGGCTGTCTGTGTGTATTCCTGTCTGTGTGTGTGTGTGTGTATTACTGTCTGTGCGTTTGTATCCCTGTCTATGTGTGTGTGCATGGCTGTCTGTGTGTATGGCTGTCTGTGTGTATGTGTATAAGACTGTCTGTGTGCATGGATGGCTGTCTATGTGTATGGCTGTCTGTGTGTGTGTATTGCTGTATGTGTGTGTGTATTGATGTATGTGTGTGCATGGCTGTCTGTGTTGTATGGCTGTCTGTGTGTATGTGTATAAGACTGTCTGTGTGCATGGATGGCTGTCTATGTGTATGGCTGTCTGTGTGTGTGCATGGCTGTCTATGTGTGTGTATTGATGTGTGTGCATGGCTGTCTGTGTGTGTGTGTGTGACTGTCTTTGTGTGTTTCTCTCTGTCAGTGTGTGTGTGTCTGTCAGTGAGTCTGTGTGTGTGTGTCTGGGAGGGAGCCTGTGTGTCTGAGTGATTGTTATGTCTGTGAGTGAGTGTGTGTGTCTGTGAGGGAGCCTGTTTGTCAGTTAGTGTGTGACTGTCAGTGAATGCTTCTGTCTGTGAGTGCATGTGTGTGTTGGAGTGATTGGGACTGTGATTTAGCAGACGAAAGGGGGGACTGGGATTTAGTAGACAAGGGGGGACTGGGGTTTAGTAGAGGGGGTCACTGTTTTATACTGTACTTTTCAAAATAAACCTACGTTTCTATGAAAATGTACATTTTTGTTTTTTTGCGGCCCACTTAAAGTTAAACCTTGTTTATTTGGCCCTTACTAGTCTTTGAGTTTGACATGCTTGTTCTAGTGTATAGGGCCTTGTTTTATCACATAAATCCGTGTCCAGTATGCCCCCACACAAAGTTCAGCTTATCACATAGGATGAGTAGAACTGCTCTACAGACGAATCGCAGCTAAAACGTAGCTTATAAATATATGCACAGTCCAGTTCATAGCAGCTCAAACAGTCTATGGGCAGGAGAGAGAGAGTGCCTGAATACATATGAACTCTCCGAGCACCATAACCACAACAGTACACTGTAGTGGTTATGGTGCCAAGACTGCCCCAACAATGTAAGTAGTCAAACAGTTTGACATCTTGACACTTTTGACACTTTTCTATGGCTGGAAGCCTGAGTTAAGTCTGATTATACAGGGCTTAGCTCATGAGGCATCAGCTGCCACTCTTAGCCAGTGAGCTGGCCCTGCACCGCAACACTTAGCTCAGAGGATTCCGGCTTACAATGCAGGAAGAGAGACCAGTATCCGGCAGACCCTAAGAAGTCAAACTGTTAGAAAACAGTTTCATTAATTGGATAGTGGGGGTGCCAGGTCACACCTGGCACCATAACTATTACACAACCATTACAGTGTCCTCAGAGTTTTCCTTTAATTTAAGTTGTCTGATTGACAGTTCTAAACAGAAAAAGCAGGTTTTTATCCAAGCCAAAGGGGATTTTAGAAGTGGGACTGTAAAGACAGGGTCTTTAAATCATTAACAATTCAGTAAGCCAAAATGGTTTCGATGCATAGGCTCATCCTTTAAATCTTCCATAATCGTGCAAGTATCATAATGATCTTCATATGGAACAGCTTGGAATGTTATTAAAATTATAGAAAATAATAACTCCTTTAATTATTTCCTACGTGCACAAAGATCATTATGTAGAATGTTAATTTTAGTTTAGTTGACAGTTCCACTTTAAAAAACTTACAAAAATATAATTTCTGTAGAGATTTCCCTATAAGAGTTTTTCGAGTTCCTACATACTCAGTTATGGGCGTGCGTGCACACACACATGGACGCTCACACTGCTGATCTGTAGGTTGAAGCTCCTGAGCCTCTGTGATTCTTTGACTTGGCTTCCACATCTCATTCTCTATGACAGTTTAATTACTTGGGGCCTGTGTGCTAGCTCCAGTAGAAGCCAGGACTCTCACTTCGCTCGTTCATTAGTTTTTAATTAAACCCTTTAATTTTATTTATGCTGTCACTGACTGATTAACAGTTTGCCAGGGCTGACGAAGGAGACATAATCTGCACCTGGAGGATAGCGGGACTCAGGCCGTGTGTCACTGTATGGGCTGCTGAGACAGGAAATGGAAGAGTGGATGCAGAAACACACTGTTAAATTTTGTAGCACAATATCGGACCTGCACAAAATGCCAGAGAGCATTTAAGGGAACACTAAAGTGTGGATTAGTATTCTTTTTTACATGCATAATATAGATAATTTGTTCATAAAATATACAAACACTAAATATAAACGCAATTAAATTTTATTTTATTTTTTTTAGATTTGTTCCATCCCTTTTGCTTACATTAAACGCACACTGTAGACACTGTTATTGCTATTGTTATTATTATTAATTGTTATTATTATGCATCTCATAATTTCCACCATCAGGGGGGCACAGGCAGTACCCTGGTAAAAGGCCTGGTCCAGCACAAGTGCCCAAATGGGGCCCTATAGTGATTATTGGTCCGTTTGGAGATATAGCTATATCTTCCTGTTTGTCTGTTTGGCAGGGTGTGTATTGTGTGTGAGTGTGTATATCTGACTGTGTGTCTGTGTTTGTAAGTAGAGTTGGCATTTGATTGCTGGGATGGGATGTATGCACATATGCACATGCAATTACACAGACGCGCACACAGTCACACACTGACTCATACACACAAAGAAACACATACATACACAAACAATGACACACAGATGCACACATACACACAGTTGGACACATGAAAACATACTGACACACATATAACACATGCACATAGAACGCATACACACAGAAAACACAGATATAGAGAGATATAATATATGCACACAGATAACACATACACACAAAGATCATATGACATATTATTAGCCAAACCCTTTCCCCATACTTTTTTGGTGCAGGAGGATAGTTTCACTGGGGTCCAGTGTCATCTGGCTGAGTGTGATGGTGTCACGAGAGGTGTACCCCAACTCGCAGAAAAGAGGAAACCACAAAAGGTGGATCCGAAAGATGTACCAGAGATCACGAGTCACATACGAAGCCGAGGTCAGGATACCAGAAAACACAAGTAAAATACAAAGCTGAGGTCAAACAAAGGAAATTACAAGGAAATCTCTAGGAGCACTAAATGAGGATCTAACAGAAACCACAATAGGGCAATGCATGGGGGATAAAACAAGCCTTAAATAGGCTTACCTATGTTCTGATAGGTCCACGTCATCACTGTGATCCAAAACAGATTAGGATCACAATGATGACGTGGTCACTTTAAGAGTGGGCGTAACCTCACGTCCACATCTATATATAGACATCCTACCACGCAGTGCGCAGCAGGAGGAGGTCTGCAAGGTTCGAGGGAGGTGAGTCTCACTCAGTGTGCTGCGTACTCATGTGGAGCGGTCGGACCGTGAGGCAGTAGGAGGTCCTGAAGACTACACTCAAGAACCTAGATTTAAGGACAGTAGCAACCTCATATTCCTCCACCCCCTCAACCGATACATTAGGTGGAGAAGAGCGAGTTCCAGTAAACCGATTACAAATCAGAGGTTTCAACAGGGAGGTATGAAAAACATTAGGTATACACATGGAATGAGGCAAGTCTAGAGCTTAGGAAACAGGATTCACCTTGCGCAGGATGCGAAAAGGACCAATGAAACAAGGAACGAACTTCATGAATGGCACACAGAGATGGATATTTCGGATGGAAAGCCAAACCCTACCCCCCACTACATAGGAAGGAGCTGCACAACGATGCCTATCTGCCTATACCTTCTGTCTTTGAGCAGCCTTAGCCAATAATTGTGGAACTTGCTCCCAAGTACTACACAAACCAGCCATGTGTTCATCCAGAGCTATTATTCCTTGTGAGGAGAATGCTGTTGAAAGAACAACAGGATGCCGGCCATAGACTACGTAAAAAGGGCTGAACCCAGAGGATTTGTAAGTAGCGTTATTGTGAGCAACCTCAGCCCAATGAAGCAGGTCAACCCAATAATCTTGGTGATGAGAAACAAAACAACGTATGTACTTCTCAAGAGACTGATTGGCATATTTGGCAGCTCCATTAGTCTGAGGATGGTAATTCTGCTGAGGAGGGAAGTTTCCTCAGGGATATGAAATGAGCCATCTTTGAAAACCTATCTGCTACCATGAGAATAACAGTATGTCTACTTGAAGGGGGTAGTTCTACAAAAAAGTCGATAGACAAGTTGGACCAGGGTTTAGTGGGTATGGGTAAAGGTTGGACCAATCCACATGGTACCCGATGAATGGTCTTGTTGGCTGCACAATTGTCACAAGCAAGCACATAGTCCTTTATATACTTCTTTAGGGAAGACCACCAGAAGTCACGAGTTACAAGATTGGTGGTCTTGGTAACACCTGGATGTCCGGCAGGTTTGCTGTCATGACATAAGGACATAACTTCCTGTCTGACAGTAGGGGTAACAAACAGTTTATCACTATGCTTGTCTTTAGGGGACTCAGATTGAGTAGCTTTGATGAGGCTTAACAATGAAGAGGATACGAAAAGGACCTCTGGCTTCTCCTCTTCACTCACATCGAATTGCCTGGACAAAGAATGGGCTTTTGCATTGCGTGGTCCAGGTCTATAAGTGATTAAAAAATTAAATCTGGACAAGAAGAGAGACCATCTCGCCTGCCTGGAATTTAGCCATTTATCTTCTCCAAGGTACAAGAGGTTCTTGTGATCGATCAAAACCATGATAGGATCTTGGGAACCCTCTAGGAGATGTCTCCACTCCTTTAAGGCTACGATAATGGCCAATAGTTCTCTATTGCCAGTATCATAGTTCCGTTCTGCCTGCAAGAGTTTCCTAGAAAAGAAACCACATGGGTGCAAAAGCTGGTCAGGGGACAAGCGCTGGGAAAGAATAGCTCCTACTCCTACCTCAGAAGCATCTACTTTCTACTTCCAATACAAAAGTGAAGGGTCAGGATGTCTGAGAATAGGAACAGAAACAAAAGCTTTTTTTTAGGCTCTCAAGGGCTTCCTTTGCCTCAGGGGGCCAAACACAGCGGTTTGCCACCTTCTTAGTGAGATTCGTGATAGGGGAAATAATGGTACAGAAATTCTTTATAAACCTCCTATAATAGTTGGCAAACCCTATGAACCTTTGGATAGATTTTAATCCCTTAGGCAAAGGCCACTCAACAACGCCTGACAACTTCTTGGGATTCATACTAAATCCAGAGGCCGAGATGACATAACCCACAAAATGGACTTCTGTTTGATCAAACAAACACTTCTCTAGTTTACAATATAAACCATTGTCGAGAAGTGTTTGTAAGACCTTAGAGACGTGTATGTGATGTGTACTTAGGTCAGGGGAATATATCATAATATCGTCTATGTACACTATCACGAACGAATGTATGAAGTCTCTGAGTACATCATTGATAAAATCTTGGAAAACCGCCAGAGCATTACATAGGCCAAAAAGCATGAAAGCATATTCATAATGCCCACTTCTGTTGTTAAAGGCGGTTTTCCATTCATGCCCCTCTTTTAAGCATACCAAGTTGTATGCAGCCCTCAGATCCAGCTTGGTAAAGACAGAGGCCCTTTTTTAACCTGTCAAAAAGCTCCGTAAAAAGGGGAATAGGATACACATTTTTTATCTTGATCTTTTTCAACCGGCTTTAGAATTTGCTGGCGTTATATAAATAATAACATAATAATAATAATAATAATAATATGCAGGGGCGTAGGTCTCCCTCTTTTTTGAAAACAAAAAAGAAACCAGCCCCAGCCGGAGAGGAAGATCTACGTGTAAAACCCTTCACTAATGAATCACCTATATACTCCTCCATGATGGTATTCTCCTGGGAAGACAAGGGATAAACCCATCCTTTAGGTGGTATAGTACCAGGTAGGAGATCT